GGTACCCATGCCGCTGTAGCTTCGGCTCGGTTTCCCACTATTAGGGGGCATCCTGGGAGGCCTTCGTCGCAATCGCTGGATTCGCCTCGAAATCGTTGTCAGAACGCGCCCTGGGAGAGGTCCGGGGAGTAGCGGTTCCCCAGGTACCGTTGCTCGTCCCGGGGATCTCTCATATCTCCACGGCTGGATTCTCTCCGAATTTCTGGTCAGAACTCACCTGGGGAGGAGCCTCGGTGGGCCCCAAACGGTATGGTGACCTTTCCGCGTGGCGAGTCAGTGGGATTCAATGGTTATCCGTAAGGGCTTCGCCCCCTGCCGCCGGCCCCCTCTCTCGGAGAATGGGCCATGGAAGAGCCAAGTCATGAGGCTTTGGCGCTGTCGTGCAGCAGTATCGGAACTTCATGCGAGGCCGATTCGCAATCGGCAAAACCAACTGATCACAAGAGGGGTTACCACACAGGGCGATTGGTAAGACGTGTATGGTTTACGAGCTTGGTTAACACACCTTGGGATTAAAGGGCCGAGGGAGTACTCGCAGTTTGGGTTACCACGCCTTGCGATGGATGTGCGTGAGGGGTGGCATCGAATTTCAGAAATGTGGCAAATCCCATGTGTTTTTGGACCCTGACCCCGCGGATCTGCGTGAGGGGTGGCACCGAATTTCAGAAATGTGGCAAATCCCCTGTGTTTTTGGACCCTGACCCCGCGGATCTGCGTGAGGGGTGGCACCGAATTTCAGAAATGTGGCAAATCCCATGTGTTTTTGGACCCTGACCCCGCGGATCTGCGTGAGGGGTGGCACCGAATTTCAGAAATGTGGCAAATCCCTTGTGTTTTTGGACCCTGACCCCGCGGATCTGCGTGAGGGGTGGCACCGAATTTCAGAAATGTGGCAAATCCCATGTGTTTTTGGACCCTGACCCCGCGGATCTGCGTGAGGGGTGGCACCGAATTTCAGAAATGTGGCAAATCCCTTGTGTTTTTGGACCCTGACCCCGCGGATCTGCGTGAGGGGTGGCACCGAATTTCAGAAATGTGGCAAATCCCTTGTGTTTTTGGACCCTGACCCCGCGGATCTGCGTGAGGGGTGGCACCGAATTTCAGAAATGTGGCAAATCCCTGTGTTTTTGGACCCTGACCCCGCGGATCTGCGTGAGGGGTGGCACCGAATTTCAGAAATGTGGCAAATCCCTTGTGTTTTTGGACCCTGACCCCGCGGATCTGCGTGAGGGGGTGTAGATTTCGAGCCCCCCCAGCAGTTCAGACAACGCGCCCAGGGGGTGCTAAAAATCCTGTTTGGGCCTCCCCCCCCCTCGCGCGGTCAATCAACTAGTTACAGTAACCAGCAAGAAGCAGAACTGTAACACTGGAAACTACAAGCTACAACTGGCACTGGAAACTGCGAACCCGTGCCTCGCAGCCTGGTGGCCCCACAAGGGGGCCGGCGGATACTGGAGGGTTCCAAGAGGGGTTTTTGGGGAGTGGGTTTTCCAGAGAGCCCCTTAGGGGCCTCGGAACCTCGTCAAAACACGGGGTGCGAAGCCCCTGGGGGACCCTTCCTGGAAAACCTCCTCGCCAACAACCCCCTTTGGAACCTCTCGTTATAGGACTCGGGTCGCTCTCCGAGGACCAGGACCTCCGAGGTCCCAGGACCGTGCGGTGACGGACCGCGCGGTGAGGCTGTTCGGGATTCCGAGGTCACCACGCCACCTTGGAGGCGGCCGGGGGTCTGCATTCGAAGAAGAAAGACGGCATAAACATAAAGTTTTTGCGCTCCGCGCGGATTCTCGTATCTGCGCTGGAGCACTCTGGTGGCGCTTCCGTCGCCGCCCCTGGCACGCTCCGCGCGCCAGGGAAGGGGTCCAGACCAGATTCAAGAAATCCGGGCGGATCGCAGTTTGCGTGTATGCAGTTTTTTTTGCTATTGTTTTTCCATGTAGTTCGTACTCCTGAAATTCGGTCTGGATCCAGAGCCTCGATTTTGGCTCCTTTCCCGCGGGCCGCAACCAGCGCTGGCCACCTCAGATCCCCAGCCGGCTCCAAACGCCACCACGCGATTTTGGGGGACCCCGAAGAGCAAATGTGTTGAAATAATGTATTCTTTTGATTTCCAGATGCCAATCTGCTTCAGCCGCCTTCCTGCTTCAAGGGTCGAGGGGTTGTCCCTCCTACCCTCGTCCTCAAGGGGGCGGGCGGAAACCCAATCCCCTTCAACGCCTGCCTACTTCTTGCTTCTACACACTTCCTCTGGCCGATGGGTCACGGTACCGGTGCCCTTTGTTCTAGGCGTCTTAGATGGGGTCCGAAACATCGTCGACGTGGGCGATACATTGGCGACGTCGACGTGAAGCAAAACGGGATGCACACCGAGCCTCACCGCCGATGCATCGACGATGCGGCTCGATGCGGAGCCCGATGTTCTCCACGCCGATGGTGCCGATGCCTCGCCGATGTCGCCGATGCATCGCCGATGCGTCGGCGATGCGGCGTGGTCCTCCGATCCCGCCTGCTCCGACCCCATGTGGGAGGCCTCTATTGCGAAGGCCTTACGGCCGGTGCCGCCGACCCTGGAAGACGACACCCACGATGAAGGTGGCAGCTGGAGGCATTCAAGCACGAGGAGGAGGAGGAGGAGGAGGAGGAGGAGGAGGAGGAGGAGGAGGAGGAGGAGGAGGAGGAGGAGGAGGAGTACGCGAGGAGGAGGAGGAGGAAGACGCGAGGAGGAGGAGGAGGAGGAGGAGGAGGAGGAAGACGCGAGGAGGAGGAGGTGGAGGAGGAGACTGACGACGACGGCGACGGCGACGACGACGACGACAACGACGAGGGCGGCGGCGGCGGCGGGAGGCCTCTATTTGTTCGCTCCAGGAGCTGCGCCGCGCGGTGCTCGAGCGGACGCCCCACGGCGTGCGCCTGGCGCTCCTGCAGGCCGCGGAGGGCGCTCGCACCCCCGGCGCGGGCGGCTTGCGCGGCGCCGCGCTCGCCGCCGGCTGGCGCTCGCCGAAGCGGGTGGCGGTCGACCCCGGCAGGAGTCGGGGAAGGAATTCTCTAGGCTTCCCGAACCTCGGAGGAGGCAGCAGTACGTACTCATACCGCTTCCCTTCCCTCGTTCTCGCCGTTTTGGGCCTACGGGGAGGCCCTCGTCGCCACCGCTGGAGTCGCCTCGAAATTCTTGTCAGATCGCATCCTGGGAGAGATCCGGGGAGTGGAGGTGTCGAGAACGCTTTGTTCCCCAAGAAATGACATGCGGCGGGTCTTCTCAGAATGCTCAGCAGGCCTCGGTCCTTCAAGAACCCCCTCGCTCGCCGCCGAATGGGGTCCGAGCAGATGGGGTCGGCGGATCGCACCACATCGACGATGCATCGGCGATGCTGCTCGATGCAAAGCCTGATTTTCTCCGCGCCGATGGCGTCGATGCATCGTCGACGCGTCTCTGGTTCATCATCAATGATCGCCGATGTAGCGCCCCTGCATCGCCGATGCCTTGGCGATGCGATGCGAGCCTCCGACCCCATCTGCCCGAACCTCATCTATCAGAGCGTGAATTACCTACCCCGCTTTCGCTTCCAGGCAAAACCAAGTCATACCACGCGCCTCCTCGTCAAGTGGCCTGACCAGTACAGGCCGTAGTTTGGCATCGTTTGGTATCTCTTGGAAGCGAGGGTGGTCAAAAGCGAGGTAGGTTTGTTTTCCCCTTAATCCGGGCCTCTTCGCCTCGTTGCAAGCCCGGGGACCTTAGCGGACCGATCCGGTGCGAAGAGTGGCGCGGAAAGGTGTGGTTGGGGGTTTGGGGCTCCTGTCGTCATTTCCCGCGGTGTTGCACTGCTTCGCTCTAGGAAGAAAGTCGGGACGGCCGAGATGGGTACGGAAAGAGTGGGCACGGAAATCCAAGACATCCGCGCGGACCGTCGACAGTTTTGTGTTTTCGTAGCTTGTTGTTCGCCTACAGCCATTTACCCTCCACACTCGCCTGTCGGGGGCGGACAGAACCCCCAACAGTGACACGTCGATTAGTGAATTGTCCGTTTTCGGCTCTCGAGAGGGCGCCGCGGCCGTTATTTTCCAGGCTTGCGCCCGCCAGGTTTGGGCCTCAGGTCGTTTTCACTAAACCTCGTTTTACTAAAGGGAGGGCTGTCCATCCCCGAGCCTGCGCCTCTTGTTTGGCCTCTGGGCAGGCCCTCGGGGAGGCCGGATTCACCTCGTGATCTTGGTCAGCTCTGAGATCCGACGTTGCCAAACAGTTGTGACATCGCAGAAGTCACGGCCGGAGCCCCAGAGCCCAGCTTTCTGCTTCATTCTTCGGGCCGGATCGATTGGGAGGGTCCTGGGGCCCGAAGTCAGGCGAAGACGCCCAGGGCGAACAACTTGCACCGCCCGGATTCGAGGGTTGGTCAGAGCGCGCCACGGGAGAGGTCCGAGGCGTATCGGTATCGGTCTTTTCCTTGTCTCGAGCGGAGGGCAGTAGCTATACGCCTTCGCCTACCCTTGCAAGGTCGATCTTGGGCCCCAGGCTGGAGTACGTGGCTTCCTGCCCAGGTCAGGAGGGCGCGTGCACCGACCCTCGGCCCAGAATTCGGCGGCGAGCCACGGGGGGAGGGCAGAGTGGGCCGGCCTTCGCAGAAGGCTCGGGAGGCATACAGCCCTCACAGAAGTTTTCTGAGCCTCCCCCGAAGCTACCTACAGACGGCTTCTCGGAAGGCGCGAGGGCTGCCGAGAAGCCCCGCCGCCTTCTGAGCAGGCCTGCCACCTCTCTCTCCCCCTGCTGGGCGCGCCGCCGAAGGTTGAGCCTGGCCAGGGACGGTGTGTGGGTGCAGTCAACCCGCAGAAGGAGGAGGAGCGAGTTTCCAAGGGGCACGCCTGCGTCCTTCCTCGTAGGCCCAATCCTTGGCCGCGTTCGCTGGCCGCGCTCCGCTCGCAGGGTGTCGACGTGGCCCTCCAAGGCCCCTGCGTCCTTCTCGTGCGTCCTTCTTATATGGGTTGACTGCAGTTGGCGTCCTCCCCCAGGAGGGGCTCTGCGAGGCCCAGGCCGCCCGCGCCCGCGGCGGGCCGCAGGGTCTGCGCCCCCGCTGCTGCTGGGGGCCGCGTCTCGCGGAAGGGCGGGGGGTACGTCGGGAGGGAGATCTGGACGCCCGAAATGGGTACGGAAAGAATGGGTACGATACCCAACAGCAGTTCCTGTTCATTTTGGACAGGGCTCGCTGTCCGCGCCGCCGCGGCCTGTGACCATTTGAGACAGGAAGGCCGCCTTCCCAACAGCGGCCGCTGATGGTTTGGGACAACATTTGTTGTTGGGCATTGTACCCGTTCTTTCCGTACCCATGTCGGGCGTCCAAAGGAGAGCCGGCTGCGCGTAAGAGTGACGTCTCGCTGGAGTGGCTCGATGGAGGGCGAGTTGAGACCACGGTCCGGCGCCAGCTAAGGCGGGAATATTGCGGACCTGCGATTCGTTGTGTGGAGTGATGACGATGAGCGCCGCATGTGTTATGAAAGGGCCGCGCGCTGCGTCCTCCCTAGTAGATGAAGACAGATGCCCACATGGCACCGATCATCAGCTTGCAGAGACACACGGGGTGATCACCTTGTAGCGCTGGTCGTGAGGGCCGCGTGCAGCATACGCTTGGAACGCATTATCGGAGGTTGGGGGGTGAGATCGCAGTGGAACGGAGAGCACCCCACCAGAAAATCGGTTTCGATTTCGTGTTCATGTCGCGGTTGCGGGCGAGGCGAAGTTGCGTGTTCGCGCGAGAAGAACGACTCCGCCGTCGCTAGAGCGATTCGGATGCAGTGGACCGCCTCTCCGCCCCCGGTGGACGCGCGGTGGCCCGTGGTGTCCCGCCGTGGTGCCCGGTGGTGTCGCGTTGGTTTTCGTTGGCGGTGGGCGGTCGGTGATTGAGGGTGTCCCGCCTTGGTATCGATAAGCGAAGGCGATAGTGAGATTGAAAACATTAGACCATTAGCATCGGCTGGATAGTGAAATCAAAAGTGAGATCGACAGTCAGGTTGATTGTGACATTGGTTGTGAGATTGAAAGCGGGGGCGATAGTGATATTACACTGTAGCGTAACAGCATCATCACGCAGCCTCGCTAACTCGAGGGCGCCTCACCAGCATCGTCATCATCACACCCATCGCATTTGTCAGCAGCTGGTTCCTTCTTCCCCCCCCCTCCTTATCAGCCGAAGGGTGGTCGTATAGACAGCTGCTTGTGGCATGCGCCTCTATTCATGGAGCGGCTTTGAGCTGCCGTTGTCCCGGCTCGCCCCGCTCCGACACATGGGCGGCAACGGCGCTGGGCCGAGCGCTTGAGCCTGGCCCCGCCGCGGCCCCCAAGAGTCTCAGAGGCGACGATGGGGGCGAATAGCCCAGGGGAGAGCAAGGCGCGAACTGAGCTGCGCCGATGACCTACGTCTTCGAAAAAAGGCTCCAGGGCGAATGCGTGTGATGCCCGCCCCTGGGCTAGTCGCCCCCCTCGTCGCCGCCGAGAGCCGCGCTCCAGAGGCCACTCCTGCGCAGTGGTCGCTCCTGCCGCGCAGAGGCGAAGCAGCGAGCATCCGTGGCACGCCGCGCGGTCGGGGGCCCGTCCGCGCGCCGCGCTCCTCCTCCTCCTCCTCCTCCTCCTCCTCCTCCTCGTCCTCCTCGTCCTCCTCGTCCTCCTCCTCCTCCTCCTCGTCCTCCTCCTCCTCCTCCTCCTCCTCCTCCCTCCTCCTCCTCCTCCTCCTCCTCCCTCCTCCTCCTCCTCCTCCTCCTCCTCCTCCCCTCCTCCTCCTCTCCTCCTCCTCCTCCTCCTCCCCTCCTCCTCCTCCTCCTCCTCCTCCTCCTCTCCTCCCCCCTCCTCGCCTCCTCCTCCTCCTCCTCCTCCTCCTCCTCCTCCTCCTCCTCCTCCTTCCTCTCTCCTCCTCCTCCTCCTCCTCCCTCCTCCTCCTCCTCCCTCCTCCTCCTCCTCCTCCTCCTCCTCCTCCTCCTCTCCTCCTCCTCCTCTCCTCCTCCTCCCCCTCCTCCTCCTCCTCCTCCTCCTCCTCCTCCTCCTCCTCCTCCTCCTCCTCCTCCCCCTCCTCCTCCTGGCATCCCTCCAGCAGGGGCGCGCCGACGGGCCTCCCGCGGCGGGGCGCGTCGCGGACGCCGCGCTGTTGCCCTGCCCCCCAGGTACGTGGCGCAGCTGCGGCTGGCCCCGGGCCTGCACGCGGTGTCGCGGTGCGAGGTCAGGGGCGGCGTCAGGGGGGGACTGGCAGACACCAGAGATCCAACGCTTTTGAAAAACTCAAGACGGAGATTGTTTTGCCCTTTTCGGCGTCTAGGTACTCCAGATTTCGTAATAAAGTGAGGGGGGTCTCATTTCGGGGGGGGTCTCTTCCATGCTATCTTGGAGGGCCTGGGGGGGTCTGGGGACGATGGTTTGGAGGGTTCTCCCACGGGGGAGGTCTGAAATGGCTTGTCTTGGAGGGTCCAGACCCCCTCCCTTTTATTACGAAATCTGGAGTACCCTCGCCGGGCCCCGGGAGCGTCAACAGAACGGCTCAGGATGAAACACGGGTCCCGGGGAAGGGGTCGGGACCTCCAGGGACCCCGTATTGGACAAACCACGACATCGGATCTCTGGGACTCACTCGGTAGCAAATCATGGGAGCCAGGTATACCCTCGTGATTTCTTCTTTGGCGTCGATTAGCGTCTGGGAATCGGTGAGATAGCGCCGATGTAGCGTCTGTTATATAGCGTCGACGAGCGTCCATTTAGCGTCGATTAGCGTCGATTCGCAAAAGCCGACAAGATGGTATGGGAGGCTCCCATGAGTTGCCACCGAAGGGGGCATCGACCCCCAATCCCCCACTCATCGCCTAGATTGGCGCCCGGTGGCCCACCGTGTCCAGGACCATGCTGCTTCGCTGCCTTGGAGGCCTTTGAGCCGATCCATCGGCGATGTCTCGCCCATGCCAGGCCGATGTGATCCCCCCCCCTGAGCGGGTCCCCCCCCACAGTCAACCCGCATAGCAAGGATCAGCGACCTTCCCACGGGTACCCTCGCATCCTTGCCTCCCCGGTCCATCCTTGGCCACCCTTCGTTGGCCGCGCCCCGCTCGAAAAGCCTCGACATGGGCGTCCACGGACGGCCCCTGCACCCTTGCCGCGCATCCTCGTGAGCAGGGCCGACCGTATCTCGCTGCCCCTCGCGAGGGCACGCCCGAGAGGGCGCTCCGGCTGCGCGGCGTGCTGGAGAGGGCGCGGGAGCTCGCGGCGGGGGCGGAGGCCCAGGACGGAGGGCCCGGCGGCCCCTTCGGCTGCGCGTCGCGGCTCCTGAAGGCCATCGGGGCCGCGTCGTCCGAGCACGGCGTGGCGGCCGAGGAGCTCGGGCTCTCGTTCTGCGCGCTCGTGGACGCGCACGCGGAGGTCGGGCGGGTGGTCTCTGGCAGCTACGGCACGTCGCTGCAGGAGCCTCGATGCTGCAGGAAGACGAAGCCCCCAGGGCTGGTTGTTCTTCGTGGTCCAGAGCGGCGTTGTGTCCTCCCGTTGTTTTGGTCCGTTTTCTTTTTTTTCCCGCGCGGGGATCCTCGTTCGCGCCGTTTTCGGTTCCGCGCAAGACGGCCGGTGTGGGCTCCGTGTTGGGCCGCTATGTTTTGCTCCGCCTGGTTGGCCGACAACCGAAGAGTTGGAAACTGAAACAAACAGTGCCCCCCCCAGCAGCAGTTGTCTTGGCATCGCCCAGGCGTGTGCACTTTTCCCCGGCGAGGACCATCGAGGAGCACTCTGGACCATTGAGAGCGAAACAAAAACATGTTCTCCGAACCCTTCCATCCCTCCCAGTCGTTCTCCTGGCATCGCGTGCGCGTTCCCCGGCGAGGACCCTCGAGGAGCACCCTGGACCACCGAGCGAACAGAGCGCGCGCGAAGCCAAGAGATGTGCACGGGGAAGGGGCGCACGAGCGATGGCAAGTTCTGAGTCGGGCGGGTCACCCTACAGGAGGAATACTCAAGAATAGTAAAGTTTGGGGACTTCCTATGTTTGAATGTGTTGGGCAATTTTTCTTCATCTGTTGACTATGTTTAAGTGTTTTTTTGTGACTATTTCTCATCTTTCCGCAGGAAATCTGCCTGTCGGGGGACACGCCCGATTTCAGGCAAGTTTTCACATCCACCATCGTGCATTTTTCGTGCGAAAATGCAGTCAACGCGCATAGTAAGGACAAACGACTTTTTCAAGGGTACCCTTGGGTCCTTGCCTGCCTCAGCCTCTGCGGCCCGCCCCTAGCAATTTTCGCAGGCCCGAATACTTCAACTTCGGCCTCCAAGGGTCTTGCGTCCTTGCCACGCGCCCTTGCTATACGTTTTCGCTGTGTGGGCAGTGGGGGGGGGGAAGACAGACACCCAGAACAGATGGGAACATGTGGGGCATCCTGGGATTTGTGTGTGTGTGAGTGTGTGTGTGTGTGTCTGTGCGTGCGTGCGTGCGTGCGTGCGTGCGTGCGTGCGTGCGTGCGTGCGTGCGTGCGTGCGTGCGTGCGTGCGTGCGTGCGTGCGTGTGTGTGTGTGTGTGTGTGTGTGTGTCTGTGTGTGTGTGAGTGTGTGTGTGTGTGCAGTCATTTGTGTGCCTGCGGGCCCCTTCCCCAGTGCAGGACGCGATGGAGCAGGGCCGGCGCCTCCAGGCCCGGCCGCCGCGCCCGACGGGGGGGGGCGGGGGCGGGGCGGGGCGGAGGGGGGCCACGGCGGGCGGCTTCTTCGGCCGCTTGGTCGGCCTCTGTCGGAGGGGGCCCCCTGGCGGGGGCCCCCGGGGGCTGGAGCGGAGGCGGGGCCCGTCCCTCTGCAGGAGGGATATCCAGACATGGTCAAGCAACTCGTACGGGGACGATGTCGGTCCAGAAATGGCCGTGGTCGGCAAAAACATGGTCAGGCAAAGCAACCGACCATGGTCCAGAAATGGCCGTGGTCGGCCTCTGTCAGAGGGGGCCATGGCGGGGGCCCCCCGGGCTGGAGCGGAGGCGGGCCCGTCCTTAGCGGACCCTGGAAACGAAAGGTCCGTTTTTGTTACCACATCCGTTTTGCCGTTTTGTTGCCGGTTCCGACGCCGGTTTTGAACCGGTTCCGTCGCCGTTTTTTTTGACCGGTTCCGGTTCCGGTTCCAATCCTGGAGCCGTTTTTTTTGCCGTTTCCGGTCGCCGTTGTTTTACCGTTTCCATTTTCAAGGGACATTTTTGGGGAAACGGTGAAAAAACGGCCCTGCCGTTCCCAGGGCCCACAAAGGGCCCGTCCCTCTACAGGAGGAGTATCCAGGCATGGTCAAGCAAGTCGTACGGGGACGATGTTTAGACTATGTTTGAGCATATTTGGAGTATGGTTGCAGTACTGTATATTTGTCGCCCAAAATCCCCGTGTATAGTGAGGGGGGCAGGCCCGACCTAAGACTGGAAACAAGAAACGGCGACCAGCGGTGTCGGGCAGTCTTGCGTCGAAGAAGAAAAAACGCCATACGCAGAAATTGGTGGCGCTCCGCACGGATTTCTTGGATCCCTGTCTGGGCTCCCACCCCCCCCGCGCCTGGCGCGCTCTGGGTTCCAGGGAAGGGGGTCCAGCGCAGATCCAGGAAATCCGCGCGGAGCGCCAAGAGTTTATTTTTATATTGTTTTCTCTTCTATTTCGTCCTTGGAGTGTCCTCGCTGGGCCCCAGGAGGGTCATGAAGCGGCTCTGCAAGGAGAGACCGTCCCGAGGAGGGGGTCCTGGCTGGAGCCACATGGGCGACGCAAAACAACGGGGTCGTCTGCGCCGACCTCGGCGGTCACGTAAGCTCCCCGCGTAATGTCTCGCGCGAGCGCCCTCGCTTCGAGCGTGGCGGGCCGCGAGGGCGGCCCGCGTCAGCCACCGCGTAGGGTCGCTGCGCCATCTCGCGCAGGATTCAGCTTTCGATCGCCACCCACGTGGCAGGGGCGCCCTCGAGGGCGCCAAGTTCTTCGCGCTTCGCGGTTCGGCCTTGACTCCTCGTCCTCCTCTCCTCCCCTGGGAGGCGGCGCGAGAGCGCGAAGTCACTCGCACTTCCGCGGGAGCGCGAATACGGGAGCCCCTGCGTGGTGGATCGCATCGCATCGCCGGGTGCCCGGAGGCCGGAGCGGCGGCGGCGCGCCGAGGGGGGGGGGGAGAGGCGCACGGGAGGGGGGGGGGCCCTCTCGGGAGGCTCGGGAGGCCTCCCTGCCTTCTGGGGAGCTCTCGAAGCCTTCGCCGAAGGCGCAGGGCGCTCCCAGGCTTATGTACGTCGGGCCTGTCCCCCTGCAGGGGGAATCTTCAAAAGCAGTCAAAAAATAGTAGAGGTACGATTTGCTGACTCTTTGTAGAATTTTTTCGGATCTGTTCTGGGTATGTCTAACTCTGCACCCAAAATCTCCCTGCAGGGGGACAGGCCCGACCTAATCCTAGGCCGGAGGGCTTCTGAGAAGCCCCCTCCCTTGTTCCAGGCAGCCCGAGAGGGGGTCCAGCTGGAAGGTGGTGGTGCGTTTGGAGCTTGGATGCAACTCGTTGCAAAAGCAGCGTTAGCCTGATGTGCCTGTCGCAGGCAGTCCCCAAAGCCCATGCCTTGTGCGATGCGGTTCCGACGCCGTTTGTTTGCCGGTTCCGTCGCCGTTTTTTGACCGGTCCCGGTTCCGGTTCCAATCTTGGAGCCGTTTTTTTTGCCGTTTCCGGTCGTCGTTTTTTTGCCGTTTCCATTTTCAAGGGACATTTTGTTGGAAACGGTGAAAAAATGGCCTTGCCGTTTCCGGGGCCCACTAAGGACGTCCTTAGTGGGCCCTTTCCCCGGGGGGGGGCGTTTTCTCATCCCGGCAAGGGCCCCCCCCCGTGTGCCGAAATCGGTAAGAAAAATACCTCCCGTCGTGTTTTTTTTTTTTTTCGACGCGAGCAGCCTCAGACCTGAAGTTGCCAAAGACGTGCAACGCCGCGAAAAAACACGACTGGAGCCCTAGACCAAATCTGCCTGTTGCAGTTTTTCGAGTCGGATCTACCTGTGAGGGTCCGGGCCCCTAAGCCGGGCGAAGACACCCGTTGTGGAAGCATGCAACGCCAGGATCTCGGGGCATGTCTGCTTCCTCCCCTCGGCGCGCCGCTGACAGGCCGGGCAGCGGCTGGGCTGGCCGGGCCTGCGCTCGGCCTGGATCGAGGTCATGCAGCGGCCGGTGCAGGCGCGCTCGGGCACCTTTGGCCGATCCAGGCCCCGCCCGCGCCTCGAGGAGGACGCGGCGCGGGTCGCCGACGAGGCTCGGCGGAGGGCGCCGGCTATACGCTCATCTGCTAATGCTGCTGCTGCTATGGGCCTTCCCGCCGCGCCTCCTCCTTCTCCTCCTCATCCTCCTCAAGTATCGTGCAATCCCTCAGCAGTAGATTTCGGCGACGGGATCTATGCAGATCTTCTGCCTTGGCCTGAGCCATCCTGGACCCAGGAGCGTTGTAACTATACGCCTCCATGGCCAAGCCAGGAGGCCCTTCTACACCGCCCCTGGGCCCAGAATCGGCCAGGCCTGGAGCAATGGATATAT